ATTTATCTAAGCTGTAAAGTATTCATTTTGTGATCATTGTTTTAAAAAATAACTGAAAATTTGGTATCTTTAGAAGTAACAAAATAAAATAAAACAAAGTTAGATTATAATATAATTAAAAATATCCTTGTAGAAATTTACCTAGACGGTTAGGCACATAATCAGGATGTATTTAACGATTTGCATCACGTGACCCTGACTGGGCAAATGGTTGTGGCAAAAAGTTGGAGAAATTGTCGAGAATAATGCCTATGCCCCGATCACTTGGATTCTATCAGATGCTTGCTAGAGATACACGTCTAGGAGGTTTAGTATATTTAAAAATGTAATTGGTTAACACTTGAGATGATTCGGATGTCGAAGCAACCAAAATTGAAGGTGTCAATATTTTGGAAGCGAAATTATTGGGAAGATTGTTGAGGAAGAGTAGGTATTTAGGTTATATCTAAGAAACTATATTAATTAGAGGAGAATTAAAGTTCAAAAGTATGCATGAATAGATACCCAAAACTTCAGGAAATAGATTTAGATCCAAACTACCGAAGAAATCCATTATTAAAAAGCAACTAACTGTATAAAAAGGAATAAGAACTATATTAGTCGTCATGCAGTTAGTAAGCAAAGTAGTGGTACAGAAGAGTTTGAATAGAAATATTTGAGATATATTTAACTTGCGCTTTCTTCTATCTACGATATTTCAAGCACAGATAATGCTATCTGCTGTTATGTTGGATTTTTAATTCGTACAGATAAAACAAATTAGCTAAATGTACTTATACAAAATATTAAATTTTGAAATCGTATTTTTTGTAACAATATGTATACTTCAGCGATTAATAATTATCAAGAACGCCATTTCGGCGTGTGCAATAATAATATGTGTTGATGGAGGGCGACAGTACAAAACACAAGGTACACCTCAATAGAGTCCTTGAGATTATCTGCCCCTGCAAAGGGAATGCTTTCAAGATTATATCGCTCTGTCACTTACCGCAATAGAAATGAACCTTATCTAAAATGTAGGCTTGTTGACTTAAATACAATCGTCCTTTTACCGAATTTCCATATTATATGGGTTGGTGAATAACAATGAAGGAGTGGATGTACTTTTACGAACGTGTCCTACACCATATGTTAATATTTTTGAATTAAATGACCCGCAGTCAATGTACGTGTCCAGAGAAACATTATTTGGCCCAATTGATAATATGAAATCAAGTTCGAAAAAGAAACTGCAAATTTCATTTATCAATTTTTCTACGATTTCTTTTTAATTCTACCAAACGTAAACAATATATATATATATCGATGATGGATG